GTAGATATGTGGGGTGTGTTAGAACGAGCCGTTTTAGGGGGGCGTGACAGAGTCTTAACTTTGATAAAGAATATCTCTTTGGTTTTGAGACTTTAGTCTTTGCAACTTCAGGGATCTTATCTATGCACAATCAGCTTGTAACACTCCAAAGAGAAAGGAAAACTTGAAATCGCATCATATGACCCCTTTAATGTTACTATTTAGGTTTTTTTATTTTTATTTCAGTTCTAGCTTTAGTTCAGTTTTAGTTTTTATTTATTTCCAGTTAATAAATTTACTTATGTTAATTAGCTGCCAGGACAACATTTAATTTTTTTTTTCATCTAATATTTATATTTCATTTTATTTCAGCTTTACTTCAATTAACAAAAAAAAAAAAAAACTTTGCCATTACATGAATAAATTATATTTTAAAATATATTAATTTATTTTAAATTGTAATAATATTTCACAATATTACTTTTTTAACTGTATTTTTGATCAGCTAGATACAGTCTTGGTGACCATACGAGTATGTTTTTAGTTATGTGCCTGTATACAGTTTTGAGAGGTGTTACCTAATATTTAAGCACTGCTGAACATACCGATAATTAGTCTGTCTCCAGTAAAATGTGTTAAATGCACTTCACTCATGTTAGTCGCTGAATGTATTTTTACAGTATATTAGCCAATATATTTAATAAATGAACATTTGAGGAACACATGATGTGTAGAGACAGAAGTCTGCAGTGCGTGTGTGAGTTCAGATTCAGTGTAAGCCTTGTTAAATCGTTAACGGCATTAATGAACCCTATCCAGGCAAGGAAGGATTAGCAAGATTTCTACTTTTGATCTCTGCCCGTGAATGTAAATTGTGTTCCTGAGGCTTTCCGTTTGATGCATAAGTCCTTATCTTGACATGCATGTTCAGATGCAGAGCGGGAAGTTAAGTTGCAGTTCCAGCAGAAGTTGGAGCAGGAGCGTGCTCAGTGGGCACAGTACCGCGACGGGGTGGAGCGAGAGATAGCTGAGCTCCGCCGCCGTCTCTCTGAGGGACAGGAGGAGGAGAATTTAGAGAACGAGATGAAGAAGGTCAGATTTGCTTTTTTGATGTGGCTACTTTTTAGCCTTTTACTTCCCTGAACTGTGAAAGAGATAATGCACAGCCGTTTTCTCTGAATCGTGACTCAAAGCCAGAGTGTTTGCATCATGTTGGTACTGGGTGTGTTTAGCAAGCTTGGGTTTGTATTAATCTAGGCTCAGGAGGACGCAGAGAAGCTACGCTCGGTGGTGATGCCAATGGAGAGTGAGATTGCAGCGCTGAAGGCCAAACTGTCAAGCTCAGAAGATCGAGTTAAGGAACTCGAGGCAGCGAAGGTTAGACGTGCATCAAAAAAGTGGAACTGAGAGCCAGACTGTTTTGTTCAGATATATTATTAGATGTGACTCATTTCTGTCATTTCGTTCCTTTCATGTGGTTATCATGACAAATTTTCACGCCTGGGCAAACGAATCATGGGTGTATATTGCCATGCTAAGGCAAAAGACCGCAACTTCGTTTTGGTCGAAAATGAGTTATTGATATTTTTGAGACATTCAAGACCTCCTTTATCATGTGGATAAGTATCTTGAGTCAATTTCGTTTTTTTTTTTTTCGAGAAAATAATGGGTTATCTTAACAGTAACTTCGAAAAGCTCAGGAGAAACTACGGCAGAATACCGTATAACACCAGTTACCGCTCTTTGACTTTGTTTTGGAATGCTCAAATTGAGTTACGGTGCTCTGCCTTTGTTTAGCCACGCATCAATATGAAGTTCCTGTGCCGGTTTGGAGTTATACGGTATTCTGCCTTTGTTTTACTGTCCATTAAAGTCTGCCGCGTTTAAAAAAAAAAAAAAATCTATATCTTTATCTATTCCTTCTCTTTCTAGCGTGTACTTATTTGAACAATGTCTAAAAACTTGGTATTACAAGCACTTCCTGTATCTGTTTGCCTCTTTTAAGAAGAATCGCTTTATGTATCCCCCAATTGTAAGTCGCTTTGGATAAAAGGGTCTGCTAAATGTAAAATGTAAATTACGGTGTAGCTTGTGTTATTTCATACATCTATCTAATTCGTTTGTCTAAAAAATTGCCAACAGATCGCGATCTACCAAACTGCTCCATATAACAAAGCACTGTAAACAAGCAAAGACTAGATAACTTGGCAACAATAATTAATCGTAAATACCCTTTAAACGTTTTCTTTCTTTTTATAATGCAGATTATTCTCTCAGTGCCAGCATGTCAGTCTGGGGCTGCCCACTTCTGCACGCGCGTGGACTCGAATGCCGTGACAGCGTAGCATGATCTCACAAAATCAGTAGAAACAGTTCGCAATTAAATCCATATCCTACATTTTCTTGTAACCCGATAAAATCCATGACGGCGAACGTCATCGGAGATGTTAAATCCACAAGCATTCTAAGCATTATGTCTTGCATCCTTTAATGTTAGTGAACATTGCAAATAAATTGGTTGCAAAACGGTATCCACTCACGTTTAACTTTTTATCTGATTGTTACGATCAGAAAAAAATAAATGAATACAGTCACATTACTGTATGTTATAGCTTATGAAACAGCCTTGATCACTAGATTTTATACAGGTGTTACTAATGATTTTGTAAATTGTGAGCAGGAACCAAATATTGTATATAATGTATATAATAATTGTATATAACAATAGGCCTTTTTGCCTAATTGGCGTGACTTCTCACTTTTTGCCGACAATGCAAAGGCAGAGTACAGTAACTTCAAAACAGGAGTAAAAATCAAGTTTGAGCTCAAATTTTTTTATGTAGATAATTTTCATTACTAAAACATCTAACTGCCAGATTTCCAGTGTCCTATCTATAATTAATTTGTCTGGACAAATAAAAATCTTTAAAGTAATTTTTCTCAGTTTCACACTCTATCGTGTTAAGGTCTTTTGCCTTTGTAAGGCAGTATATGTATGACATTACAGCCTTTAGTTATGATTATGACTGTGATACTGTTTTGGCTGAGTCTTGTAAAAGCTGGTAGAAGTCAATGATCCAGCAGCCATCATCTCAGTCAGTAGTAAAGTTGAAAGGTTGTAGATGAGTCTGCCAGTTTATTTTCAAACATAAAATGTTCATTTTGAGTCAGCTGTTTGACACTGAAGTGTGAAGAAGGCCTCTGTTTATGGATGCTTTTAATCATGAAAAACAAAGTTAGAAACATGTGCTTGGTTAATTCCCAGGTGAAGGAGCTCAATCACGTCCTGGAGGCTGAGAAATCATGCCGAACAGACTTGGAGATGTATGTTGCTGTCCTCAACACCCAGAAATCTGTCCTTCAAGAGGACGCCGAAAAACTTCGGAAAGAACTACATGAAGGTATGTGACCAAAATACTGTTATGCAAACATTTTATTTTCATAGAACACTGTATGTTTTTTTTTTTTCTAACACTGTATGTAATTTTACATTTTCTTCTTGTTTTGGTTGATTGATTGGTAATTTTAGTTTGCAGCATGCTATGTATAGTTTTATTTATTTATTTTATTTACTCACTTTTAACTGCAAATTAGAGCATATGTCCAAGCAGGCACTGATATAAGATACAGTTGATATATGATAAATGTTTAAAAAAAATATTTTTATTATTATTACTCTTTTTTTTTTTCTTTCTTTTTTCTTTTCTGTCGTTTAGGGTTATTTTGGGCTTTATATATGTATATTTGTTTTATAAATAAGTTACTACTTGTATTCAGCAAGGCTGCATTAACATGATAAGAAGGGACAGTAAAGACATTTAAAATGTTACAAAATTTCTATTTCAAACAAGTGATGTTCTTTTGATCTTCCTTCATTAAAGAATTCATTAAAGATTCATTAAAAAATCCTATTAAGAAGCATAACCGTTATCAACATTCATAATAATAAGAAACGTTTCTTAAGCACCAAATCAGCATATTAGAATTATTTATGAAGGGTCATGTGACACTTAAGCCTGGAGTTATGGCTGCTGTAAATTCAGCTTTCAGCTTTTAAAATGTTAAATTACATTTTAAAATATATTCAAATAGAAAACATTTATTTTAAATGTCATTCTTAATATATTTTAAATTACAATGTAATTTAAAATAATGAAATGTTTCACAATATTACCATTTTTCTTTTTCTTTCTTTTTACATTTATCTTACCGATCCAAAACTTTTGAACGGATAATATGTAGTCATAACACTTAACAATAGCTTTGTATTAGTTATTGACGAGCATTGCAGTTTGCACTATACTATACCTTAGTGTCATATCAGGAAGTGCATACAGGATGTGTTTTTGCATTCAGAAACAGAACGCAAGGTCTCAAGACATGTTTTTAAAAGTTAAACTATTTTTAACTTGACACTGTCTTTAAACTCAGCATTTAACTCCGCATGGTGTCCGTCGCACAAAAAAGAGAACAAATGCATCCTGTGTGAACACTCCTCTACACAGCAGCATGCTTTTTTCGTTAACTTGTATAGTAATAAACTCAATTCAAATGTAAAATTTAGTTTATTCGGAATAAGGTTAGATGCATTAGTTTGTGCTGAAGGTGTTTTACATCATACATTTTGATCAGGTGTCACTTGCACATGTGCACCAAAATAGTTTTTTCACATTCACACAGTAATTTTCGCTTGCGAATGTGAGTGAAATGCTCGTACTGTAGAGCCGTGATAGGCTAGAGGCCCTTATATCCCATTCCGAGTACGTAGTCAGTTGATTTTAGTTGAGTGACGCCCAGTTTGAATCGTGGCTTATCTTCCAGTGGTTCACATGTTGGAGTTGGAGCGACAGCAGCACAATCAGCTGAAACACACTTGGCAACGTGCCAACGATCAGTTCCTGGAGTCACAGCGGCTGCTGATGCGAGACATGCAGCGCATTGAGAGCGTTCTGTCCTCCGAGCAGCTGCGGCAGGTGGAGGAGATGAAGAAGAGGGACCAGGTACTTCTGTTGTTTAATGAACTGGAAGCATTAATTGAATCCGTTCTAAAGCTCAGACTAAAAGCAATTCTCAATTGAGGTTGTTTAGTAAGTATAAAAGATCTGGTTGTTTGCACTGTGTCCTAACCAGACATGAAGCAACAAGCTTCCAGCATTAAGTTTTTTTTTTTTTTCTTCTGGTCTTACTAAAAGCTAAAATGTTTCATGAAGCTCCTAAAAAAGCCCTTTGCCAGTCAGAACATTTTTGTTTAACACACAACAATATGGAGCAGGAGTTCAGACCAAAGAAACTTTACTGTGGGTGGAGCCTGACTCGACAAAAACAGAAACCAATTTTTTAATGTTCATTTTTCAGTATGTATTACCCATAAACATTTGACATATATTACAACATATAGAGTATGTCTAGAAGCACTAGATCAATGTTTGAATCGTTATCTATAGATCAGTAGGGCTGTTGATTAATTAAAAAATAAATTAATCCGAGATTTTTGTAACTAATTGTGATTAATCGCATAATTAATCAGATAAATATTTCACATTCTCCAAATTACTATGGAAAGACAGTAACAAAGTGTCACAGTAACACAGTATTTTAAATATTTAATATTATTTGATTCTTGGAATCTTTTTACTAAGTAGTATGAATGTAGGCCACTATCACTGATACTGATGCCTCTATTAAATGTTTGTGTTTTTTTTTTTTTTTTTCTCCAATTAAGTAATTCTAGCCATTCAATATTACAGGCCTAATTTTGCCAATTATTACATTTTTATTTATTTTATTTTTTTAGATTTTCACAATACACATTGTTTCAAAACAGCTTTTCAGAAAATGCATGTTTACATTACAATTTACAGTGATCTGTTATCAGAAGTGAATATTTGTCGTTTATATTATTATATGTTTATAACCGTGATTAAAATAGTACCATTAATACCATTAAAAATAGTATAACAATTAGTAATAATAGTATAATAGTTTAAGTTATTATAGTATGAGTTTTAATTTAATTGAACAATATTCACATAAATCTATTATAATAAATGTCATATTTAGCTGTGCCTTTTTATGTAGTGTTTGGTGATGTTTCAGTGAGACCTTAATTAATTTATCCCCTCTTTAAAGTTTTCTTTTTTTCTTTTTCCGTATTGAAATAGTTAAAACAGTTGGTATCAGTATTTTTATGTGAGGGTCGCTCTATGTGAGGCTCACTGGTATTAATAGTTATTTTTTTAAACTAGTTTTATAAATCATGGCTTAAGTCCTTTTCCCCAAACTGCACTAATTTATCTCTAAATTTTGTTAATTGTTTTGATATTATTTAACTTGATTCAGAGAAGTATGTCAAATCCGTTAATATAGTCTACATATTAGGGATAATTAAACGGGGATAATTAGACGTGTAATTATCTCATTTGTTTGCAAAACTTGTTAGATAAATGAAATTCCTTTTTTGACTGACATGAATTTTTTTGTTGGCATTTCAGTAAATTCTGATTCAAATTCCAATTCAACATCCTGTGGGGTGTCAGTTCACTTCAAATTTAATTTTATGAATTGAAAGGGAGCCAGTTCTTAAATTCTGAATATAGGCCAACATTGCAAGTAAGAGTATTTATCACTTGTTGCATTATCGTCTTGCACCTTGTTAGGACACCTGGTTAGTCTTGCGCTTACTGTACATTTATGCAAATATTTGCATATTTTTCCAGGAAGAGGATGAGATGGAAAGACTGAGCCAGGCTAAAGAGGCCAGTGAGGATGATGGGACAGAGCATGGAGAAACGGTGGAGGACTCTCTGCTCGGACTCTCCATAGAAGAGGTTTTTTTTCAGAAATTCTGTTGTCTTTTTTTCTGGATTTATGATTTAATACAAATTACTATCAAAACTGGTTGTAATCAAAGGCAACCAAACAATAAGAATTTAAACAATCTTTAAAATGTAATCAAATTAAAATGTAATTCCTTTTATTTTTTTTGGCAAACAAAGTGCTGCACAACAGAGGTTTATTGTTAAAATTAAAACATGAAAAAAAAAATCCTCCTATCTCGATGTGATGGTGTACATCCCAAATTTTGATTTATTCATCCATAATTTGCCAAATGTCACAACATTCTGCGTTATACAATACATTTTTATGACTGGACTTTCTGCGGTGCAGAAATGATTGCTGAATGCTGTGCTGAAATATTGTTTGTATAGTGTTACAAAAGAATGACTGATCATTATTACTTGGGTTTTAAATAGAATTTCAGTTAATTATTGTTAACTTAAAATCTACAATGTTGACTGTAACGTTACCTTAAATGTTAAGCATCTTGTTTTCTTTTTCTCATTTTGATCTCAGTCCCACCTCAGCCAGAGCATCCACAGCTCTCTACACTCTCTGGACGCAGACACCCCGAGCCGTCCGGACGGCTCTGACCCTTATAAGGATGGGCTTCGGAGGGTGCAGTCCACTGATAGCCTGGGTTCTTCAGGAGGGGCCTTACAGCCTCACGGGCTGGGTGGACAAAACAACAAGGCCAAGTCAGCTAGCCAGCTGGACGAGTCAGACTTTGGCCCTCTAGTGGGGGCAGACTGTGGGGGCTTTGACAGCAGGGACACCTCCTCCATGTCATCCCTCCAGCCGGGACACTTTCTCCTCACCAAAGACCAGGAGAAGGCCATTAAGGCCATGACCCCAGAGCAGGAGGAAACTGCATCACTCCTGTCCAGCATCTCTCATACTGCCGATACGGCTTACCTTCCTCCGTCTGGCTACCGATTGGTCAGCGAGAGCGAGTGGAATCTGCTGCAGCAAGAGGTCAGATAGTAAATGCTTTTTAGGGGGTGTTTTTGTTTGTTTCAGCTGTCTCTATTTTGTTTTCTTTACTGTTGAACCCAGCTAAACAGTAGCCTTGTTATTGAAAATACACTCACCAGCCACTTTATTAGGTACACCTTGCTAGTATTGGGTTGGACCCCCTTTTGCCTTCAGAACGTAATTCTTTGTGGCATAGATTCAACAAAATGCTGGAAACATTTCCCAGAAATTGACATTGGAGGTTGCAGATCCATGACGTGAATCTCCTATTCCACCACACCCAAAGGTGCTCTATTGAATTGTGATCTGGTGACTCTGGAGGTCATTTGAGTATAGTGAACTCATTGTCATGTTCAAGAACCCAGTTTGAGATGATTTGAGCTTTGTGACATGGCATATTATATTATCCTGCTGGAAGTAGCTATCACGAGATGGTTATACTCTGGTCATAAAGGGGTGGACATGGTCTGCAACAATACTCAGGTAGGCTGTGGCATTTAAACAATGCTTAATTGGTATTATGGGGCCCACAGTGTGCCAAGAAAATATCCCCCACATCATTACACCACCAGCAGACTGAGTCAGTGATATAAGGCAGGATGGATCCAAGCTTTTGTGTTGTTTACTCCAAATTCTGACCCTACCATCCAACTGATCTGAAATCGAGACTCGTCAGACTAGGCAACCCTCTTCCAATCTACTATTGTTCTCTTTTTCAGACCATTCTCTGTAAAAGCTAGAGATGGTTGTGTGTGAAAATCCCAGTAGATCAGCAGTTTCTGAAATACTCAGACCAGCCCGTCTGGCACCAACAACCATACCATGTTCAAAGTCACTTAAATCGCCTTTCTTCCCCATTGTGATGCTTGCTTTGAACTTCAGCATGTTGTATTGACCATATCTACATGCCTAAATGCATTGAGTTGCTGCCATGTGATTGGCGGATTAGATATTTGCATTAAAGAGCAGTTGAGCTGGTGTACCTAAGAAAGTGGCCGGTGAATGTATGTTGTGATCTAAAACGAGTTATGCTTATGTTTGGAGTGACATACTATCATTTTGCTTGTAATATTTTTGTACTACATAGTATTTATACTGTTAAGTATGGATTTTTGGAATCCACAAAATTCATGAATGATCTACCACATTTGCTTTTATATGGCCGTTAGAAGCCTACAGTGCAACCGTTGTCCAATTCCATGAACAAATGACTCTACTGAGCCTTTCTTTTTAGGGAAACAGAAACATCCAGTGCAACCAGTGTGTTGGTAGTTCAGTTTCCAAACTAATGAATCTTTTGAGCTGGTTCTTTTTAGTAAATCAGAAACATAAAGTGTAACCATAGCCAGTTCTTTTAAGCTCTGAAGTTTGAATCAGTGTAACGAATTCCTCACTGAATCAGTCAGAGGTTGCTGAATCAACATCTGACTCACTGAACTGTAAGTTTCCATTGCTTCCACTAACGTCCATTTCAAAATGAAGTTTTGTGAACTTGAGGTTTTGTGAATCATTGTCATTACTGACTCACTGCAAAAACGGATTTCTGTAGGAAATACAAGTTACTGTATCCCACAATGCAATGCACTTTCAATTTGCATTTTGGTGAATGATCTGGATCAAAAATGCGTGAATTGTAATCGTTTTAACTCCGTTTGATAACTGGACATTGCTTGTTTAAACATGTAATGTAACAAGGTCATGTGACAACAGTGTAGCATACAGTTGTTTAAAATGGATCAGCAATGAGCGGAGATCTTAAATATGCTTTAATAATACTTTTTGTGTTTGTTTTTGGTGTGGTTTCCCCCCAGTTGAAGAACGCTGGAAGGAAGTTGGGGCGGAGATGTGATATGTGCTCTAATTATGAGAAACAGCTGCAGGTCATTCAGGGACAAGAGGCCGAGACACGAGATCAGGTTTGTTTTTTATGCCGCTAAAGTCACGTACAAGACCCATAATGAAATGATTCAAAATGACATTATGTAGTATTGTTATACAGTGAACTTCCTTTGGTGGTGCCTTCAGGTTAAAAAGCTTCAGGCCATGTTGCGGCAGGCGAACGATCAGCTGGAGCGGACAATGAATGAGAGGCAGGAGTTAGAGGACTCTGTCAAGCAGGCCAATGAGGAAACTACTGCCAAGGTAAAGCTCATCTCTCTGATGGATTTAGTGAAGCACAAATCTGTTGACAGGTTAAACTTAGATGGGATCACACACGTGCAAATTGGAGCATCATATACAGTGAGGAAAGTGCAGTAATTGTTCATCTTTATAATTTTTCCTCACAATAGCAAGATAAGGGTTATGTTTCAACCTCTAAGGAAGCATACTAACCAAAATGGGAACTTTTGAACAGTAGTGTACCTTGATGCCTGGTTAGGCAGCTCACCAGGAATTAGAACACAGCCACAGTGTCTTCAAAGTATTTTTCACAAAAGTGAAGAATGTGCAGACTGCTCTGAATGTTACTCTTCTTCCCAGTCAAATTACTTCAGTCATTTTCATTTGTCTGGTGCACAGATCTCTGAGTTGAAGCAGAAAGTTCAGGAGTCTGAGTCTCTCGTAAGCGCTCTCCAACAGGCCTTCAGCCAGGCCAAGAGGAACACCCAGGAACAGATGGTATGACCAAATACACATACTCTTACACAACAACATTCACTTGCTATCCTCGATGACTTTCAGTGAGAGCATATTTCAGTGAGAGTCCTATTTTGAATTTCTTCATGCCTGTATGATTTGTACTACTGTGCAAAAGTGTCTTTTGGCATTTAGTATTCATGCTTTCTGGAATTTCTTGAGGCACATCTGTTTCAAATCTGAAGTTGCACTATTAAGGTGATAAACTTGATGCTGTTGTGACATGATACCCTAAATAAATCACCTTTGAAAGGTTTCTGTCGGTTAGTTATTACCTGAGGAATGCTTGGTGAATCTCTCAAGGTCGCTGATATTTTCATTGGCAGATTTCTTTTAAAAATCCTCTTTTATAAAGGTTCGTTTTCCACTTTACTTGGAAATATGCTTTTGTGGCTTCCAGAGGGTTTAGTAGGCTAAGTGGTGTGTGTGTGTGTGTGTGTGTGCGTTCAGGCTGTGCTGCTACAGTCCAGAGAGCAGGTGACTGAAGAGCTGAACAGACTGCAGAGAGATAATGAGAGTCTTCAGGGTAAACACAGACTTCACATGACGTTGCAGCAGCAAGAGGACTTTCACATGCCCGCCACTGTACAGGTACTACAGCGCACATGTGAGATGCACCTTCTGTTCGATTCCACTGCATTTCATCTAGCTGTTTTAACACTTGAACGCACCCTGTTTGATTGGTCCCCCTTCTTTAGCAGCATAGTAAGAAAATATGCCAAAAATAACAGTAATTCTGCAGAAGAGGCTGTTATTTAACCATGGTTAAGAGCTGTTGAGACACTCTGAGGAAGGCATTGTTGGTTGAAATGCATCAGTGTGCAGTTATTTATTTATATATACAGTATATACATATATATATATATATATATATATAAATCTTAGAACATTATGTAAAAATGTGTTCTTTTGTTTGTGCAATAGTGGAAACTATTTAAGTGATTTTAAAAAATACATATCCCCTAATCAAAAGTTGTGGAAATTTACTGTGCAAAATGTTAATATAAAATTGAACTATGCGCTGACAATTGGGTATTTTACTGCTAAGCTCATCCAATCAGATTATAGAGTCTAAACTATTTGTTTTTTAATATTTTGCCACCTAGGAGCTTCAGAAGCTGGTGTTGCAGTACAGGGAGGACATTGTTTCTGCGTGCACCGCAGCAGAGCATTTGGAGGAAAAGCTGAAGGCTGAAATTCTGTTCTTGAAGGAGCAGATTCAGGCAGAGCAGTGTCTCAAAGAGAATCTGGAGGACACTCTACAGCTGGAGATAGAGGGCTGTAAAGAAGAGATCGGTGAGTGGATTGCAGATATCAGTTGATTTGGATAGATAAAGAAAGATAACGGTAGGACGCTGTGATGGTTTATATTAAGAGGGTTCCTCAAATCCGGTCCTGGAGCGCCGCTGCCCTGCAGATTTTAGCTCAAACCCTGATCAGACTCACTCACCTGTGATTTTCTAGGGATCCTGAAGACCTTGATGAGCTTGCTCAGGTGTGTTTGACTAGGGTTGGAGCTAAACTCTGCAGGGCATTGGCCTCCAGGACAAGATTTGAGGAACTGCAGTATGGGCTGCACAATTAATTGAAAAATATCAATTATATACTTCATAAATAAATATATATACACACACAATATATGTGTGTGTGTGTGTATTATTTATTCATATAATTACTTGGGTTGAGCGTCCAATCACAGACATCTATGGGCACATAGGTAACAATTAAGTTTTAAGCAACTGATCCACTGATGTCTTTTCAGTTCAATATAATTATAGAATACAATTATATGATACAAAATGTTTTTGCACTGAAGCGAGACTTCATCTATCAAGTTCCCATTAAAAAGAAAAAAATAAGCATTTCATTCACTAGATGATTGAACATTCATGGTTATGCTATAATAAAGAAACCTTTTCAGGTTGAATCTCAAGCCAAAATAAGTACCGTATTGGCCCGAATATAAGACGACCCTGATTATAAGACGACCCCCCCTTTTTGCAGATGTACCTTTTGGAAAAAGGCTTTTTAAAAACCAAATCTTGTTTTTTCTCAGTAAAACACATTTTGTCTTCAATTATTTTCATATTGCATATTTTTCCTATTTTAATTTTTGTTTTGAAAGTATGGTAAAAACTGGTAAAATGTACCAACAATCACATTAAAAAAAATATACACTTTTTGATATACCATAAAAAAAAAAAAAAAACAGGTAGCCCATCTGAATTAGGACATTTAGGCTATCCATCTAATAGTATTTATATATTCTGTGGAAGGCGTAGGACCAAGAAATGTTCATCCAATCAAAA